CATTACGTGACCTTAACACTTAAATTAAAACTTGTTATTTCAGTAGATGATAAAAACAAATACATATTCTTGTTTGAGTGTTGAAACTGCCCCAAGTGCCCTCCCTGTTGCTCCATTCACAGAGCAAATCCTTCTGCCTCTCTTTCTTTTCTTTCTCTCTTTGACAGTGCAAAACAAAATGGATCGGTTACCAGTAAAAAAAACACATTCTTTTCCAGAGAAAAACTTGCTTGACTAGTTTGTAAGGGTGAAGAGTCCCGGGACGTGGGTGTACGGTTGGAGACAAAGTGGGTCAGTAACCTTTGAGAAAAAGATATTTTAGTATTGATCAACCACAAGACGTAACAAATCAATGAAGTACAATCTGAACTTTGGTTTGGCAAATACTAGATTTAAATTTGTGATTTATAGTAAAAAAATGGAAATGGTTGTAATGATAAGAGCATTAGTAACAACAACGGAAAGTATATAAAAATATATAAATACAACGATACGTAATAGATACTAATTCATGCAAGTTAAGATGTCATTTTGAATAACAGGACAGTTAGACATTTCAATTCTCAATTTCTAAAACTATTATTTTGTCTTTATGTTTTTGTGTAATAATTGTATCGAAACAGCAATCATGTGTTGAACCTTTTCATCGAAATCAAATTTGGTATCATAACAATATGATCATGAAGAGAAGTAGTGTCAAATTATATAACGGTTGTAGTAGTAAGAGTGGTAGTTATAAATAGTAGTAGCAGCCGATAAAGTGGTGGTAGCAGGAACAAGATGTTACTGTTATGTCACTGTTACTCAAGTATAGTAGACACTAGGGATGTAATGATATCCAGATCTCACGGTACGATATTTTCACGATATACATCTCACTGAAAGATATTTATTGCGATATTATGAATAGGCTAACATAATTGTTAATATGCTACTTTTTCCTCTTAAAATGCCTTGACAAGACATAAATCAAAGAACTAAGATTTAAAAGTGCTCAGAATTGCTGTTTCTTCATGTAGTTTGCACCAAAATGGAGCAAAGGATCATAACCATAACACCATAATATCATAACCATAACCATAACCATAACCATAACCATAATCATAACCAACCACAGACACAAAAGAAAAGTCACAAAAAATACTTCGGCTTAAATACCTTATAGTTGTTCTTTCCCACAACCCTTTCCTTGATGTGAAACTAACTGCTCACCTCAGCTTCCTCCATCTCAAACAATTACTTGACCAAAACGTGTTCACTGAATATTTAAGTCTTTGTGAATAAAGTGATATGAAAGCACCACAGTACCACAGAATAGTGACTATCCCATTTACTGTCCTACACCTACAAGTTGTCTCAATATTTTAACACCTGAAACAACACAGAAAGTTCTGAAATTTCAAGAGATGCTTGACAAACCAGAAATAACATGAGGTGCCCCCAGCCATTTTGGTCAGTAAGAGGGTTTAGATAGAAATGTGCGCTTCTTCCTACTACCTGCGTGTCTCCAGATGTGTCATTGTTTTTGAAATTCGATAGTACAGCAGCATTAAAGTAAAGATATTCAATTACAGGCACTTTACTTTGAAATAAATACACTGACAAACAACAGCATTTATACAGATATAACTTGTAACCTGTTTTCTGCATGTAGTGCACATTTATGTAGTGTTGATTTAACATACTGTTATTTGACCTTCTTTCTTATCACTTCAAATGCTTGTAATACTTTACTGACAACAACTGAAACAGAAATTTAGTTACTTATTTACAGCCAATGCAACAATCACCAAGACTGAAACGGTCTCTCAATAATGACCACTGATTCATTCAGTTGAGTCAGTTATTTTCAGTGAGGCAACTTTATGATAAAATTGATGTCAAAACTGAAGGAAGTAGTGTTTTTTTAGCCTATTAAAAGAAACTATTACGCAATCTGTAATGCTCCGTGTGGCGTCAGACAGATGCAAGATAAGCTTCTGGTTATGGGGAATAAAAACAAATATAGAGTATATTTGATTTTGTTACTACCGCTTTCCTGGTTCAGTCCTGGTTCAGTCCTAGTTTAGCCGTGGTTTAGCTGTAGTTTAGTCCTTGCTCAGCTCACTTCAAGCCACATTTTGTTACATGATTACTTGGGCTTGGAACTGGCACAAATCAAGTCCAGTACACCACTGTGAATAAGAAATTATCCTTTAAAACACAAAAGGAGGCTCATAGATTACATAAGTTTCCTGACACTGACCAAATGATGATTATGCAACAGAGTGAAAGCTAAAAAATGTGAGAAGTGCTCTGGAAATGCTGCAGATGAAATGCTCTCTAGGGTCAAAAACAATTTAACATAGAGATGAATGATATTGACAGAAATGAATATTTGTTGAATGATACTCCGACTTAAATTTTAGTGCATCAGGAATGTCCTAAATTGTGCCTGTAAATGTCTTGGTTGAGATTCAAGTCTAGCACTAAAAGTGAATGAAGCAGAAAATGAACCACAGAATAGCAGAAATAACTTTGATCCTTGTTTGGGAGATTACACTAGAGATTTTGATTTCTTTTTGAAGTAATTTTTTTATCTTTTTAATACCCAGTTATGAATTTATATAATTTATGTTTTTATACATCTCCCACCTCTAAATATAAACCCTTAAATGATGCAACACTGCTGATGATTACAGACGGTGCACAGTTCTATGTAACACCACCCACAAAGTTTCTGAAATACCTCTAAGATTATTCTGACAGATAAACCACAAGCCACGGTAAAGTACAACTATGTCAGTATCATAACCATTTGAACCATGCGCCAAACGTCATATAAAACCTTTAAGCACCACTTTAAAGAATGACAGTGACGTAAGCAGGTAACACAAATAACAGGTCAACATCACCCACAGCAAGAGTGCATATTTTCCAGATATTTAATTAGCAAATAGAAACACCTATGATTGAATAAATGGACAGTAAATGAGGCCATACTGGGGTACATTCCAGGCAAACAACAACATCTCCATGGTGATTGAGTTGATAGCACTATCATTGTTAGAGCTGCACCATAGCTAAGGCTTTGGGTTGTGATCACAATTCTCTATATCCTGATTTAAGTGTTTACTGTTCTGTCAAATAATATAAATGGGTGCGATTAGTGAACAGCAATATTAAGGTCATAAAGTAAAATGTTCTTTAACATTCATAAAATATTGTTGGAATTGCAGTGTACTTATGACCTCTAGAAACATCTGCTAAAATGCATTCTTGTATTAGTTTAGCAAATTTTTTTTTCAGTACCTCAAGTGTTTCACTTTATGGAAACCATCTGACCTCGCAGCATTAGGATTTGTTCGCTCGATGGCGGGTACTTTTTTTTTAATTTAACCAATCGCTGCTATTTAGTTGTGACATATGTAATGTGCAGCTAACAGGGCTAACTGGTATATTAAGCCTTTCCCAAATCCCATAGGAAGAAGGGCAATAACATCTTTCCCTTTGATAAAATTCACCAAACATTCTCTATGTTCCGGCTTTAAATCCTCAATCTCAGGTATTGTTGCCAACCCAGAATGTATGGCTTTGTCTACATCCATCTCAACCGCTTTGTTTACTGTTGTGCCACAAAAAGGGACCCAGTCATGGCTTCACAGCTCTTTGCTGACTGGCCGGTGCGCGATCTACAACTTCCGGGGTTCTTGCAAACTGTCTAGTGTATTCTGATTCCTGACCTAGTCGCTAGAGAGAAATGAAACTGAACGGAGGCACTAGGTGGCGCCAGCCTGACTAAGTGTTAATGCTCCCAGCCATTAGAAATGTGCACTGACACCTAATAGGGTTGTCAAACCTATCAAAAATCTGATACTACATCACTACTACGTAAACTAGTACTAAGACTAGATACTCATTTGAGCATGTATTGATACTAGGGATGGGCATTCGGTGAAATTTTCTTAATCGATCGTTGGAAGAATTAACGATCGATTATCGATTAATCATTAACGTTTTTATATTAAAATGATCATCATTATTATTACTACTATCTGCACTACTAATCTGCATAAATAAATTCAACTTTACGACATATAAACCGTAACGACTCTAGAGCCACATCAATCCATTTGACATTATAATGTGTTTAATTCAGTTTTGCGCAACTCTTACAGAAACGAAACTTAAAACCGCATCGCTAATTTGCATAAACTCAGCAAAGATAAAAATACAGCTCTTGTGTCGATTTCTGTTGGATAAAAAGATACGACTCAGTGGAATACAGGTTAGTGTGACCATATTTGTGTTTGTCAAAACAGGACACCGTACGGGAGGTGGGAGGTGGATCCTCGTCATCAACATTGCGCGACTCTCACCTGGCAAAACTTCTTCCCACTGGACACCGAAACATATGTACCTGCTTTGTACACTGTGCACATGGCCTCACACTTGTCCTGAACGGAAAGCGTGGACTTTCTTGTACAAGTCATCGTTGCACATCGTTCGCATTTGCACTTCAGTACAGGACTGTTTGTGTCTCGCTCCTTCTGAGTGCAGACAGCTACATGTACAGACCCCTGTTTGGTCACGCAACACACAGCAACCTACATTCAGTTTGTCGAGTAAAATGAATGTAATCGATGAAATTCTTAATGATTAATTATCGATTAATCGACTAATCGTGCCCATCCCTAATTGATACTAAAAAGTCTCATTCACTGGACAGAAATGAACCTTTCCTGAATGAACAAGACCACACAGACCATATGTCCATGGACCACCATGGAACCCAAACCCTAACCTTATGGTAATATGAAAGAAAGTACTATGATTTAATGTTGAAAATCCCATTCTATTGTCTCAAGTAAGAATGCTTTTACCATCATTGTGATATCCGAATCAGTGTTGAGTATCGCGTCTATTCCTTGGTATCAAAGTAGAGTTTAACACCACTATATTGCAAATCAAAACAATTTTAACATATAGCAAAATAAAATGACCTTGCCATTGAATCTTACCTCCAACACTGGTGCTGCTCCCAGTATGATCCTCTCCAGTCCACTTGAGTACGTCTGCTGGCTCAGAGCTGTCAGACAATGCACCACATAACTACAACTCTCTGTCTTCCCCGATCCGCTCTCTCCAGAAACCATAATACACTGGTTCGTTTGGCTACTTAGCATATTCCTATAGGCAGCCGCAGCTATGGCGAATATATGAGGACTGAGCTTGCCCAGCGGCTGATTTTCATACATTTTGATGTATTTTGGATTATAATAAACTGGTAAGAACTTATTGGGGTTGATGGCGATAAGGATGTTGCTTGTGTATGTGTAAATTTTGAGTTTATAAAATCGTTTACTCAAAATTTCTGTAATACTGTCCTCCGTGGCATCAGTGAGGTTGCATAGATCGTCATATTGCTCGCTACTACTGCTGTCATTTGGGACTTGCTGCAGGACGAAGTAATAGCCATCAGATTTTGGATGCCATTTTTGTGTTTCGGGAGGCCACTGCAGCACTAAATCCAACAAGAAATCATCACAGTCCAATTGGTTTTCCTCCTCATCGATTTTCTTAACTTCTACCAGTTTGTAGCACAGGTTTGAATCCAGGCCCAACATGAGGATGGCATTTTTAATCACCGATCGAGCTGTGTCTCCATGAGTGATTTGTAGGGGACAGTTGGTAGAGGGGTCCTGGGATGGTCGGGGGTAGATCTGGACCACGCGGGCCTCGGAGGGGCTGGTGTCCAGGGTCCCAGGACGGTTCAGCGCGCTCATCCTGAACCACATATGCCCACCTCTGCATCACACAGCACTCACTGCGAAAACACATGGGAATAATAAGAGAAAGAACAAAGAAGAGGAAGATATGCAGACCCATACTTTAAAGGTATAGGTCCACATATTTTCTACACATGTCTGCTATCCTGCTTTTTTCCCTGGAGATATCATAGCTTCTCCTGGAATGTTTCAAAGTATGCTTTTTATTCAGCTAAAGCTGTTTTTAGTCCCTGAAAACATGCATTGTTACTGTGATCATGATAACAAATCTTGAAGCATGATATATTGGTAAAGAAAGAATATTGTAGATGAAAAACGTTAATAACAAAACTAATTTAAGCGACCAACACAATAACCCACAAGCAGGATTATCAACCAAAAAACAATTCTAAAGAAATTTTACTGTTATTTAAATGTTATTTTCAAATCTCCAAACTCAAAATTTCTCAAAGAAAAATAACAAAAACTCCCCCAAAATGATTGTTCCATCTATTGAATGCTAAATCGATAAAGTAATTACCATGACAGGCCTACTTCCACTGAGATATTTTTAATGTCATACTATGGAACATTGAAGACAAAGCATTAAGAAAAGTTAAATACTACACTTTTATCTCCTGTTTAGACTACTGTAATCCACTTTTTTTCCCGGCATCAGCCACCAGACACTTTCTTGCTTACAGTTAGTCCAAAATTCTACTGCAAGCTTTTAACTGGAACCACAAAACGTGAGCACATTACTCCAATTTTAGCATCATTGCACTGGCTTCCCGTTCGTTTTAGAGTTGATTTTAAGATTTTATTGTTTTTTAAAGCTTTGAATGGCACCCCGTGTGTGCTCTGAGGTACGAGGGAGCTCCAGCTCGTGGTGCCTAAGACGAGAATTAAAAGCAGGGGGGACAGGACCTTCTCTGTGGCCCCAAACTCTGGAACACTCTGCCCCCCACGTCCGAACAGCCCCCACAGTGGAGTGTTTTAAGTCTTGTCTTAAACCCACTGTTATTCTCTGGCTTTTAACACTGCGTGAGTTGTGTAGTCCTCTGTGTCATTTATTTAGTTTACTTATTTTACTTATTTACTGCTATTTTATGATTTTTGCTTTTATTTTAAAATTGACTTGTTTTAGTGTTTTAGGACTGGTTTGACCAAATTTGAGCAATTTACCTTCCTGTAGCCTTCATTTTATGATCATTTGTGCAGCACTTTGGAAACTACTTTGTTTGTAAAATGCGCTATAGAAATAAAGTACACTATTTTCTGTCTATATTATACATGTTGTCTCCTCATCAAAGACATACCTGGTGTTGAGTTTTGTTTCATTCAGACATGCTTAACACACAAACACTACAACACTCATGTCATGTGGTAATAGAAGACGTGCTCCACTGTGTTTTTAAATTAAATACACCTTTACTAGAATCATTTGGATAATTTCAGGTCTGAAATTATCCATATCTCTATAGAACAAAAGGTGAAATGTCGCCATTTACTAGAAAACTACCACTTCATTGCATCACAAGCTGGAGCAGAGCATTTTGAGCTCTGGAGATGCAGCCTAAATACTGGATTACTCAAAAATGTGTGTCTGAAACAACACACAACTCCAGGTATGTTTTTGAGGCGGTACCAGCATTCTAACACAGCTTAAAGCTCACAAGAATCCATTTTACGTAATATAGGACCTTTAAGGAGCTACTTAGTTTTCAGTTTTACTTGTCAGATAACAATTCAATTTCAATACATTTACAAATGTAAGAGCGTTGTCTGGATATAAGTAGGTCTGATTTTGCCCAGATTCAGTCAAGTGTACTTTAGCCTGGTTTAGTTTTGATTTTTAGACCAAACTGAACCCTGATTTAGAAGCATTTATGCAGTACTTACCATCACAAAGTTCTCATAGCAATCTAAGCTCTATCTATTCTATGTTGCTTTGATGAGGGGAAAAAGTGCTGAACCAGAACTAAACCAGGACTAAACTAGGCCAACCAAGCACCACTGGAGGGCTGTAATTAAAGAATTAAATGGGTTCAAACCAGGTCTAAATAGGACTGAACGAGATCAAGACCAGTAAGGAGTAAAAACTAGTCTAAACCTGGATTAAAACCGAAACCACAAGGTACTTTTATAGGCCTTCTTACATTCAAAATGCAAGTGGTCTGTATTTCTTGCAAGAAGTAATAATGCATCTAATTAATCAATTTTGTGCATTTCTAGCAATTTTGCGTAATTTCTAGAGTTTTCAATAAAAACAAACAACAGGTATGCTCACCTTTCACTCTGTCAGTCCATCTTGCGCAGAGGAGCGTTTTATGACAGCGGAGAAGAAACGAAAAAAATAGCAGCACTCCGGTAAACTAATTTCACAACTTTAGGAAGAAAATCAGCGCGCCTACAGCTGAGACACACTACGAAATCCAAACCTCTCCTCCGTGACAAAATATTCCCACGTATTACAGCAAAGATTAGTTTCTCAATCCGCAGTTTTACCTGAGAAAGTGGGATTACCGTCGCAACACCCGCCGCCCTGCTCCAAAAAAAAAAAAAAGTTCCACTTCCTAGATTTCTCCACACCCTCCCTCCGCGCGAAGAGGTACAAGTAAAAGCACGGATCTGATCACTGACTTGTGAAAATGTGGACAGTAAATCATCAGATAAACTCCAGACGTGAGCACAACTAAACTGCAATAGGTACAACTTGGTGAAAAGTGGCGCACAATGAGCACACTTGAGTAAATGAAGTAGGTATGTGTGCAGGGGACACGCCACGCTTGTTATAATGAATGAAAGCAGTGTTCAGGCTCCCTCTGGTGACAGTCGTTGGTATGTGAAATAAATGCAGTGTGCAAACTTTTTAGAAAATAACAAAATTACAGAATAAGAATATTTCAGCCCCTACAGTGGGTGGGGGGCACCGCAAGATACAAACTTTAAACTATTTTTCATAAATTTGCATGTTATTCACTTGAAAATGTTAAATGGCCATACATAACTCATCATTATCACTAATTTCATAATAACAACAATAATAATGATAATACTAAACAAATCAAGATTGCATGACTGTTCTTTCACCCTTACATGTAAGAAATGCACTTGTTGATGTGTACTATTTTTGACAGGAAGATAGGTGTAAGGTGAGTGGTCAGGAAGAACAATAGTGGACCTCAGTCTGCTGTACATCTCCACCTAAAAGCCACTGAGTCACTTGGTTTGAGAAGAGAGTTAAAGAGGCTATTTTTGTTGGGAAAGACAATCCATCCTTCAATTGAAACATCATCTGTTTCCCATCTACAACTCCATACTCAGACCTAAATCAAAACAAAGAAAACAATAGGGATAATCAGGTCAGGTCCAGAGGTGTGGAAGCACCCATTATGGGCCTGAAGGATTATACTAATATGACCCCACACAGTGCAAGTTCAATAGACCCACCTAACAAACAAAAACTGTAAAAAAGTAGGGTGTTAGTTTCAGAGTACTTTCAGTGTAGTTAGCTCCTCCCTTCAGGCAGATATAAGGCAGTGTCCACCAGCGTCTGACCAGAACTGAAGAAGCAGCTTGAATGACCTGGTAAAGGTATACCAAAATAAACTTTTGTCCAGTTGACAAATTTAATTTCTCCTTTGCCATGGATTCTGCCTGGTTAACTGAGACATTTTACACACAATATTTCAGTCTTGAAACCCACGTTTACTCTCTGGCTTTTAATACCACGTGAGTTGTGTGGTCCTCTGTGTCTTTTATTTATTTGATTTTTATGTATTTTATCGGTTTTATTTATTTATTGCTATTCTATGGTTTTGCTCTTATTTTATTTTACTGGTTTTATTGTTTTAGGACTAGTATGATTAAATCTAAGTGTTTATTTTATCATTATATTATTATTGTTGTTATTAGTATGTAGGTGTGCAGCTCTTTGGAAACTGTTTGTTTGTGAAATGTGCTTTATAAATAAAGATAAAAATAAAGACGTAACTGTTACACTTTATTTTATTTTCATTATAAACAGGGCTGCAATGACAAGTAGACTCAGAGGTTCAACTCAAGAGACAAAGCACCATGGCCCGTGTGCTCCATGCTCCTCCATGACAACCTGTGTGCTGTCCACCGACCTACAGGAAACGCCTCTGATGTCCCTTGTATCTCCAAGTCACAGCCCCCGGACCTCAGGACCTTGAGTGGGACTCTGAGAATACGAGGCCTGTGCATACCTTGATTTCCCAGTAAATCCCCTGTTTTCTTTTGACATTGACTTCTTTGCTTTGACAAAGTGTGTGCCTGTAAAATAAACAAAAAAAAAAAAACAAAAAAAAAAACAAAAAAAAACAAACACAAATATACAATATACTTGGAGGAGGGACAAATACAATTCATAGTAGTCTCAAGAGTTCCTGTATTTAATATTATAGCATGGATATAAGCCTCCTCTGCCACTCCTCTCCACAGCCTACACTCTAAAGTTTCATCTGACTGGAAGAAAAACAGACAGTGTGCAAATGTCCTGGTATACTCTACTAGTGACTTTAGACCTAGTATAGTTCGTTCTAATTCAAACCTACCCTGTTTTATAGCACTCCAGTCTTGGAAAAACACATCTCTCACAAAACTATTACAAGCACAGCCAGGGCTACAGTGTATTTTGGGCACAAGAGGGCGCTGTCTGGCTGTGTGCCACAGCAGCGCGCCAAATTCACCTGAAGCCTGCCACACCCTAACCAATGAACCACTGAAGCAGATTTTATCTGTTTCCTTGGAAAAACAAAACAAAAACAAAACAAAACAAAACAAAACCAATGTCATAAGAATTAATTTATCTTCCTTTTTCTAAAACACTTGAATCTCAAGATATCACGTGTGCAGAGGAGACATAATAATATGATATCCATTCACTCCACAAGACAAAGTAACCTGTTTTTTTTTTTTTTTTTTAAGTCACTTATTATTTTTTCACTCTTGCAATAACATTTGTAGGGAAGCTTTTTTGGTTTTAAGTTCTGCCTTTGACACTTAGACGTAAATGTAGTCTGTCCTGCATAAACGCGCTGTTCTCTGTGGCCACGTGCGCATGACAGGCTCGTCTACATGAGCGCGTGAGTGAAATGTCCAACCTCGTGGGTCTCTGCTCATCTCCGGACCCGGGTCCACTCCTTCAAAGAGACGAGGCCACGCCGCGGTGACACTTGAGCACTTGAACACTCCGGCAGAGCGGCTGTGGCGCACACGAGAGGCAGCGGTGATCGGAGGTGAGCGGAATAATGTGGATTTTAGCAGGAGTGTGCTGTAACAACACAGACACTGTCCGCGGAGTCGTATAACTCCGGTAGAACAGGAGTTTGTGACGCATATTACACGAGAGGCAGTGTGAATCAAGATGCCTTGAAATCAAGTACATATTTGAATATGGACTACAGATATATGAATAAGCCATATAGGCCCATTTATTGCAGAGAAAAACATTTAAAAGAAACTGTGAACAATGTAAACGCAAAACAAGAAACAGAAACCATTTTGGTACCATTTTATAATAACTAGGTCTTGATTCATGAAGAACTTCTGTCGCACACAGTCTACAAAAAACCTTTCTAACAAAGACAGTGGCATTATTAAATCAAAATGTAAAAAATCTAAATAAACAATTTCCCTCAGTAACACAGTTTTATTTATCTAGAAGCCTTCATTCACCACATTTCAGTCTTTATTTGGGTCAAATGTTTTTAAAAAGTCTCAATACAATAGAACTAACTACTGAAATAATTGTTAGTTGCAGCCTTTATAAAAATAAATAAATAAATAAATAAATACATAAAGCCACAAGCAGCAATGATGACTCTCAACACCAGTGCACATCCCTCCACACATCCACACCATGGCCCAGGCTCCAACCTGCCCTTGAACTCAAAGCTTACTTACGTGACTTTCCCCTTACCCCTGATGACTGACTGCACCTAATGTACAGTATTTGAAGTATTTTAGTGAAATCAAATTCCCCTAAATGTGTGTGTGTCAAGATACTGACATAGGTATAGACATACAAAGTTTCCATGGCACTGAACCTGTAACCCTGTGCATAATACAGGTCTGATGTGATCTTCTCCTCTCCATTTATTCTGTATTATTTACAAAAAATCCCACAGGCATAACTGGTGTAAAGATATCACATGTATTTATTTCAACATTTAAAGATGATTGTGCTAATAAATATAGTGACAGAAACCCCAAATCCACCGCTGGAGAATGGATGCTGCTTTAAAGTGACAATGAAGCAGTTTCTCATTTGTAATTGGTCCATTTTTATTTTTCCTATGACTGATGATGCACTGTGGACATCTGGAAGGAGAAAAAACTACTCCAGGAGCTAAAGAAAAAACACAAATATGCAAAGGAAAGCAAAATGGTACAGAAAATGAGCCAGGAGGGGGTCCGTCAAAGCTTTTCTTCATGGAGATGTTATTCCTTTGTCTGGAATGTTTCACAGTATGGTATTAAACCTTTCTATCATCATGGAAACCAAACTCTACCAGAAAAGTTACAAAATGCACCTATATTTTTCTTTCAGTCTTCTCTCAAATGTCAAAACTGAATGATTTTGAAACATAATAACTATACAACCCAAATAAAACACTGAAAATTATAGGTATGACATTTTCCAGTATTTCTTCAGTATTGATTTGATTGGGCAAAGATTGTTACTCCATAGATTGAGAAACAAAACTGTAATTATTGTAACATATGACTGTAAATTATCATTCCCAGGAGGTCAGTAGTGATTTTTGTTTTAAATGTCCACTCCAGTCTAACATAATATTTGCTGAGGTGCCATTTTGTGTCCCCAATTTAGTGGAGTGTGCAGGGGCCATGACAGCTAGTTACACACTTACACAGATGGATGTATATACAGTTTACTCAGCACAAATCACCAGACATATCCAAAACATTTTACTATAGAACAATAAAGCCCAAGTGTTAAATTGACTCTTTTATCCATGTTATAATGTTGTTACATCCTCAAAACTAGACCTGAAGTTGTGTTTTGTTTCATTCACACATGAGTAGTCCTGGCTTATTGGTGTGTTTATATCTCCAAACCTCAAGATGCTCTGTTCCACCTTGTGATGTCATCAAGCAGTAGCTTTCAAGTTAACAGCTAACTTTTACCTTTAGCCTAACTAAGCTTGCATCTCATGAATCGTTGCATGTCAAGGGACTTTTTTCTCAGCAGCAGCGGTTCTTGCCGGTAAGATAGGTGCTAGGTGATATCAGTCCACTGCTGCCAAGCTTTCTGTCAGGAAGTACAACTCGCTGCTGCTGCTGCTCAGATATAAATCCTTCAAATGCAAGGCTGGTTTTACTGCTACAGTGATTCTGTCAACACAGACATTCACATCGACAGTCTGGCGTAATAATGGTTTTGCTTTGGGTGCTTTGTGGAGTGGGTAAGACGGATGGAATATTTAATGAAGTGTCTCCACATGTCTCCAACACTCTGGCTAACTAGGAAATGAGGCCCTATGTCCAAAATTCTGGACTGTCCCTTAGAAATTCATTGGAGCACTTCCTGTATTACCTCATGACATCACAAGGTGGAACAGAACATTTTCTTTTTGAGAGGAGAACTCTGTCTAAATATGCAGG